TTTGATTTTGAGAATTTACGGGAGGAACGCCTTTTTTGTTTTTTGTTTTTTGTTTTTTGTATGCGTTGAACGCCGATATTGACGAGTACGGCACATGAGCCTTTGTTGGCCTGTGTGTCGGCGAAGTTTTTTTTGTTTTTATGGTGACTGATCGTTCTTTTTTCCCTCTACCGCCTTCAGTGCCTCTGCTTGGGCATACGATTCATTCATCCACCTTCAGCTTGCGGGCGGCGCATGGACGCTTGCGGTTGTTGTTGTTTGTTGTTGTTTTTTTTGGCTGATGAAATCCCTCTTACTGCCGCTTTCTGCCTGCGTGAATGCGTGTGTTCTCGCGCTGCGTGTGTGTCTGTGGTGGGAATTTGGGTGGGGGACGAATGGCAGTTGGCGGAACCGAATACCGAGGACAGTGGAGAAGTCATTTGAAAAAAAAAAAAGAAAAAGAAAAAAAAAGAGGAGATATAAGAGAGGGAGGGAAGCAATAAAAGTAACTCATGAACGGTACCGAATTGCGGCAGGAGGTGGGGCGGTGGTGGTTGCCGTCGTGTTGAACTGCGGCCTTAAACGCCTCTGAAAACCGCCCACACGCACATACCGCACGATTTGTATCATGTCTCACGCTGTAGTCAAAAGAAACACAGAGAAAAAAAAGCTTTATGCATACAAACAGACACACACACACACACACATATATATATACTTATATACACTTATATACATGTGTACATGTATATGTGCGGGGGAGAGAAAGAGTGGGAGTCTCAGTGTGAGGGGAGGAAGGGGAGAAGTGATGATTGTGGAAGGACACGGAGATGTGTGTAAGAATACTGCTGTTGTGTTGGCGCTGCATCTCTTTTATTTCTTTATTATTTTTCTCTCCTTTTTACGGAGCACTGTTGGACGTCTTCGTTTCTTTTTATCCACTTTTTTTTCTTTCTTTTTTTTGTTCTTGTTTTTTTTTTTTTTGTATGTGTGCGGATGTGTGCTTTCTTTTCTCGGTTTTTTTTTCTTTTTTTTTTTCCGTATCGTTCCTTTCATGTTCTTCAATTTGTTTTTGCGCTGGCGATGATTGTCTCATAACGTCGCCACGGCATATTTTGTCTATTTTCCTTTTTTTTCCTTTTTTTTTCCCCCTCACATTGTTTAGCCACAGCATCACGACTCCCGCCTTTGTTTTGTTTTTGTTTTTGTGTGTATGTGCGTCTGCGTGCTTTTTTGTTGTTGTTGTTGTTGTTTGGTGAGTTCCTTATGATTTTTCTTTCTTTTCTTTTCTTTTCTTTTTGATTTCTCGTCAGTGTCGGTGTCTTAATAAAACAAGCAGTGAATTTCAATACGAACCGTGTGTTTGTTTTACTTCTTTTTTTTTTTTGTTTCTTTTTTTCTATAAATATTTATATTTGTATGTGTGTGTGTGTGGCTTGCCGCGCATTCATCTGCCACTCCATCGCTGCTGCTTTATCGTTCCAATAAATGATGGATAACAGTGCCCACATCAAAATACATATTACATGCATACATACATACATATTATATTATATTATTATTATTATTTATTTGTGTGTGTGTCTCGGTAGGTAATGAGGGTTTATTCCTGCATGTCCATTGGCCGCACATTGCTGATGGCGCATGTGTTGTTTTTGTTTGTTTGTTTTTTTGTACGCATGTTTTTTTTTGTTCCGCGCATTTATTATCTGTGTGTGTGTGTGTGTGTTCCTTTTTTGTTTTTGTTTTTGCTTTTCTTTTTTGCGTGATGTTGTACGCACACGCTCAAAAAAAAAAAAAAGGGCGGGTATTTTTCCCACTGAAGAAAAAGGGAATTGGCGCACGCAAGGATGGACCTCCCCACAATACGCCGCTACTTTGATGTGGCGGAGGAGTTGTACGCAGCGGGTCATCGCTTGCATGCATTTGCCACGTTGCATGCCCTTTTCGCTGTCCCGACGACCATCCAGCTGTACTACCGTCGGGAAGAAATTCTCTGTCGTGTACGTGCAGCCGAGATGCTGCTGTACAACTCCTCACCGCCGCAGCAAGGCAAAAACAGTACCGGGAGTGGCAGTTCTGCGCCATCTGCAACGGTGGCACGACTGGATTTGGCGTACTCCGTCTTGTCGCCGATGATATCTTCTCGATGGTACTTGGAGGGCGTCATCGTCTGCCCCCTGCTGTGGGATGACGGGAGCAGCGACGGTGCGCGAGCCGCAGATGGGGAACGAGAAGGAGAGAAAGCGGGAGAGGACGGTGAGGGCAGATTTGTTCCTGTTGCGTTAATTGTGAAGGCGTACGTGTTGAGTGCGATTGTGCATCGTCGTCGTCTCCGACACACGCAGGCGGTGAAGTGTATCGAGGCGGCTGGGCAGTGGTGCAGCACCGCCTTTTGCGCGCCGCTGACCGGTCTGGCCACGAGCCTCCCAGACGACGCGGAGGCGGAGGCCCAGCAGAGGGAAGAAAAACGCTGCTGTGAAGCCTTTCTTTCAGTGGAGTTTTGCCGGGTGTATTATTCGCAGCTTGTGAGCGCCGGAACGGCTGTTGTTGCGGAAAATCGCACACCGAACACGGCGGTCCTTCATGCTGCACGCACGCACGCATTAGATCGGCTGCTCTATCATGCAAAGGAATACGCGAATTACGTCACATCTGACGGCCTGGAGCCACTCCTTCTGGAGGATAAAAGGCGCAGACAGTGTAGTTCACTGTGTTTTTCTTCTCCAAAGAACTTGTTTTCCATCCGAGCGGCGGCGCGCGTGCTTTCTCACTACTACTGTGCCGCGTTAATCCTTGACCACCGCTTGGTGGAGGCGGAGCGGCACATGCAGCGGTGCGGAGTGTTGTTTGGTTTCTCTCCCGAGATGCTGTGCATGATGCAGCTCCTTGCGGTGGGACTAAGGGGACCATTAGCATGGAAGGGGCCGCGTGGAGTGAAACGACAGCGCAGTGAACAGGTACCCGATGAATCTCAGGTTTCACAGAACGAGGGAAGCATGTCGCCGAAGGAGGGACTTAGATGGATACAGGATGGGTTGTTGGTGGCATTGAGGTGTTATTTGACCATGCATGCAGCTTCTATGGATTGTGCGACCGCGGAGACAACGTTATCTTTTAACTCGGTTTCAGAAAGCATCCCTGTTGATGCAAACACAGTGGCCGTCAATAACACTCAAAATGGGAATAATCCGGTACGTCTTCTGTTTCAAAGAACACTGCGTTGTATTGATGAGCAGTTGACGCTCCTGACGACAGAGGTAAGTCAAAATGGTTGCGAGGTAAATAATGCCCGAAAGGATCTTCTCTACAGTTCCCCCTCAGCTGATATTCGTTTTTTGGTGCTGCTGAAATGTGCTGCACTTGTGACGATGACTACATATGCTCTTTCGCAATTGTGGCTTGTGGAAGCAGTGAGACACCTCCGTCAGTTGCGTCTCTACATGAATGTATTCTACAAGCACACGACAAGTGTGCGAGTGCATTATCATCTGATGGTATCCCAACTAACCTCGATGCTTTCATTGCGTCATCTCTCAGGCAAAAGTAATGTGGCAAATTGCACGGAAACGCGTGAACCCAAGCGACTCTCGGAAAGGGAAGAGGAAGAGCGGACTGCGGGGTTTGATGTGGGATTGCCATATGCACACGTCCTTGCTGCGGAGAGGGCGACATTAAGTGCTGCTTCTGTATGTCTCTGTGGCCCATCCACACGGCTGCTTGTGTCGCTTATGAAGGGAGCCGCGATTTCACACGCAGCCCGTGTGGGGTCGGCAATTCACATCACGGATGCCGGAGTCACACTTACTCATCTCACTGTACACCAACGGCACCGTTGTGCGATGGCCCTCACCAAAGTGTTGGAAGTTCTCAAGGCAAGCTTTGTTGCAGTATCTGCGCAGGAAGAAGAAAAGAGGAAGGAGGATGATGAAAGCAGTCTTCGACAAATAAGGTCCGCGTGGAATAAGTCCAACCAAGTTTTTTTTCTTCTCCTTTGCGGTGCGGCTGCCATGTCAGAAGAAAAGGACGAGTTAACAGCTATCAGCATGTTTAAGAACGCCCTACAGCAGGTGAGACGATACTTTGGCCCCACGAGCGGCGTTGCCTCGGAACCCTTGTACCTTCTCGCAATGGCATACAATGAGTCTGAACGGATGGAGCTGCATCCATCCGAGGTGTCCACGCCAGTCTCGGAAGGTGGCAATGAATATCTTCTTGCTAGTGCCAATGGGGCAACAGACAGTGCACAGCAGACCTTTTCAGTGGCCTGGCAAGTGGCTTCACAAGCGAGGCGGTTGGCACTGTTGCACTGCGTCTTGGCTCTGCAGGAGGGTGGCAGTAAAGAAAATCACCGACATATTGTGGGCGAATGGAATATGGAGGTACACCGTGTGTGTTTGCTGATGCGACGGGAATTAATGGAGGTCGTGTCTTTGTAGTTACTATGCGGACTCTTCTTCTTTTCTTGCATCTAAGACCGCACCATCGCCGCCACCTCCGTTCTCCTTTTTTAAAGGACGGGAATGTTCGTGGGCGATGCCGCACCAACAGAAACAGAAGGTGAACACGTGTCTGTCTTTATTTTAATTCTCTTTTTCTTGTCTTTTTTTAAAAGACGTGAGGAGGGGGATGGCCACCCACGCATTGGGTGGTGTTTCGTGTGCGTGTCTGTTTGTGTGGTACTCTTTCTCTTCCCCCACGTCTTGTTTATCTTTTTTTTCTGCGTGTTTGTGTGTATGTGTTGTTCCTGTGGGATGCGTGTATTTTTTTTTTTTTTTTTTGGGTGGGGTTCATCCACGGAAAGGAAACGAAGAGAAATTCATATACCTCCTCCCCGCGTCTATCAGGTGTAAGGAGCAAGCGGTGAAGAAAAAGTGAAAGAAAAAAGAAAGCAGCAACAAGAATAGGAAACAAAAAAAAAAAAAAAACCGAGGAGTCGGTAAACGTGTTTAGTACGTGGTAAGTGTGACGGTTTTGTCGTGCACTGGTGTTATTTCTTGGATTGACAGTGGTAGACAGTCATGTTTGAAAGCAACCTGCTCTCGCTGATCAACACCGCATCGCCGCTTCCCACGTTTGTGGAGGTGGACTTTGTGAACTCCCTTAACAACTCACTATCAAAGGCCTTCCAGTTTGCCCACGTGTTACTCGCTGAAAAAAGCGACATAGCGGCCATGTGTCTGCCGTGGGATGCTGAGATTTGGCTCGTTCTGCACTCTCTTCTCGAGCACCGACTTCTCTTTCATGCGAATACAACGTTCTCGGAGATGTTGTTTGGACTTCGTCGTGGCTGCATTGCATCGCCATCGAAGCCGTCTGGGTCTCAAGGGAGGCTGTCGTGGTGGGTTCGCGGCCCCCTCCCCGCTCCCTCATTGGAGGAAAAGGCGTTGCAGGCACCGGACGCTGCTGCCTCCCCTGCCGCATTGGGAGCTATCTCCGAGTCTCCATTGCCTCAACGACATGGTGAACTCACAGCAGCGGAGATGCAGGCGGCACAGGGTGCCTCTTATGGCCACCTCCGTTTTATTCCCATCACCAACAGACAGCGGTACATTACACTGTTTCTCATCACGGTAATACCCTACCTGAGAGAGCGTGCTGCTAAATGGTACACGCATCGGATGGATTCTTCTCCCGAAGCCAACTCTATGCGCATTGCTTATGCCACTCGTTACCCCACACGGGCGCGAATAAAAGAGTTATTGACGCGACTGTATCCTCTTGTTTACACGGCATTAAGGAGCTTGAGGTTTTTTTACCAGATACTTTTTCTTCTGGAGTTGACGCCATATACCACACCGCTTCATCGTTTGTTTGGTATCGTTTTGCGGCGTCTTACGAGAGCTGATCAAATTGCTGCGTCGAATCCACGAGCTCAAAGGGCTCTTATGTTGGCACGTGTATTGGTTCTCCTTATTTTTCTTGGATTCAGGCTGCTAGAACTCACTGGTGCAGGTAATGCTGCTGGAGGAAGTACGGCACTCACATTGACGGGTTCAGGTGGAGAAGACCTTGCAACACCACCACCACCGGTGTGGGGCGTTGATGTGGTGATTCCTCCAGGGACGAAAGTGCCGCAGCCTGGCATCTGCCCGGTGTGTGAGCGACGCGTAACAAACGCTGCAGTGTGCACGGCAAGCGGTGTGGTTGGGTGTTACCCGTGCCTACTGGGTTACGCCAGGACAAATGGTGCATGCCCCTTGACAAAGTGTAGGACCACGGTAGATTGTATACGACGCATATATGAGTGCTGATATGTAATGAGCCAGAGACGATAAGGACAGCAAAAAGGGCGGGACCTCAGTAGTATGGCCAGGAAAGCGGATTTTGTGTGATTTCCTTTGTGGCTTCTGAAGCGTAACGTTTTCCTGTTGGAATAACAAATCCAAAAAAAGTAGCATGGAGAATGGTCTGTGAAATACATTCAGGCGGTTCATGGAAAAATACAGTTTGCCTCATGAGGCGAAGAATAAATAGTTATACTTACTCTGCACGTTTTTTTTGAATTTTTTCTTATGGTGGTGAGGTGGTGCGTGGAGCTTTGCTGGTATGGGGCTTCTGTGACTTACTTTTTTTTTTTTATTGATGGCAGTGCCTGTGTGGGCAGGAGGGAAGGAACTGGCAGTTGGAGGAAGAGGGCGCAGGGTGGAGGGCCGTGGAGAAAAACAATAAAAGAAAAAAATTTTTTTTTTTAAAAGGGTTCTCATGGCGAGCATACGCGGCGGCGTTGGTGGGTTTCTTATTCGCCGCGCGGCCGTAAAGAGCGTTCGGCAAAAGTACCAGACGGGCCCACAGTTCAATAAGCGCAAATTCTTTCAGTTCCCAAAGGGCTACCACCGTCTCCACCTTCGTATCGGTGGCGTTCAGTTGGGCTCACCGACGCAACAGCGGGAACACACGCGCTTCTCGCATCTTCCAGGTGACACTCGAACGCGGCCGCAGTACGACTTCACTTTTGGTGAGAGACGAGCAGATGGCGCCCTGTACGCCTGGCGGAAGCGCGGTAACCTGCAACTGTACCAAATGGGCGGAAAGCCTGAAACATTTGTCTGTTACCGTTGTGGCTACCCGGTGCGCAGCCAACTCGTGGCGATAAAAGGGGACAACTGGGATTACCGAATGTGCTACAAGTGTTACACGACAACTGTACACCACGGGATGGAGAACGATACATGAAGGTCTGCGTGTGGGTCTGTGTTTGTGAAACGGAAAAGAGAGGAGTTTTGCGTCCAGCAATATATGCGTCTTCTCTTTGGGAGCGGCGGGTGGTCCCTGTAGTGTTGTTGTTGTTGGTGGTGGTGGTGGTGAGGTTGCTGATTCCATTTTTCTTGCTGTTGTGGATCCATTCTGTCGCGGTATATTGAAAAAAAGAAATATTTAAAAAAACGGGCATGAAGGGGATGTCTTTTGTTTTGCAATAAAAGGAGTGCGGCTGCACTCAGAAACAACTTCTGGAGACGCTGTGAGCCCCGCCGTTGGTAGTGTCGACGTCTTACTTTTCTTTCGGTCTTTTTTCTTTTTTTTTGCCCTCCATCGTAGTGAACTTTCGACACGGCGGAAACGAGGGAAGGGACGGAGGGAGAAGAAAAAAAAAAGGTGGGATTGGCGGTGATGAGCTACGCGGGAGGCACGTACTACGCCAATCAAGAGGCCGATTCCTACTACTATGGCCAGCAGCAGCAAATGGCTGAGGAAGAAAACACCATTGATTTTCGTCCACCCGACATTACAGAACATCAGGACAAGATCATCCAGCTTGTGGCCAAATATGTGGTGTTTTCCTGCGATGGGGCGCGATATCAGCACCTACTTATTAGGAGGACGAAGTTTAACTCCTACTTTGCCTTTGTTGCCTCACCAGAGCACAAATATCATGAATATTACCAATATCTGATTAGAAGCTACATCGTGTGGCGCGACATGGCTGCTGCTACCTCTGCGGGAGAAGGGAACACAGATGAAGGGTACGCCTTCTACACGGAGCAACTGCGACAGCAAGAACAACAACAACAACAACAGTACCAGGCTAGTATGTATTACACTGCATCAACGGATTATTCAACGCAGTACACGGATCCAACGGCAGCGGCAGCGATGACGACAACTGGGGGTTACTACGATGCCAACACTGCCTATTCTCTGCAACAAAAACAAAATCAGAATACATCCGTCCTTGGGGAGTCTTCGGCCGTTGTAGAGACCTCCCGTGGAGATGATGTCAGCAGAAAACGCGCCAGGTCAGCAACGCCGCAAGAGAGTAGTGATGAGGAGGACGATGCTGGACGGGAATTGGTGTTTGTGATGGAAAACGGGGTTGCGAGAGCCCTTCCCAAATAAAAAGAAAATAAAAGAAATGCAGGCGTCAAAACCGCAGCAAAAGAAGATTCTTTTGTGCGAGGTTATAGTCGCTGCTGCTGCTGTTGGTGTTGATGTTAGTTGTGTTTAAACTAGCCGGTGGGTGTGGCTTGTTCTTAAAGGTGGAAAGACAAGGTGGCTGGGATAAACACGAGACGTTTTTTATTATTATTGTCGTTTGTATGGCAGCGACAACTGCGTTTTCGCCGAGTGGATAGTTTTTCATGTCCTTGCGTGTTGCCACGTCGTAATGGCCTTTATCCTTTTTCTTTTCTTTTTTTTTTTTTTTTTTTGCTCTTTGTTTTTTTGTTTTTAGTTTGTGGTGGGGATATCCAAAAAGGGGATGCTGCGTGCTCCGGCTTCCAATGATCCGTTTGGCGACCGTCTTCTCCCTGCCCCAGTGCAGGAAACGGTTTATTCCGTTGATTGGTCTCACATCACTTCTCCGCATGGCATAATTTACATTGGCTCTGGGGCATTTAGTACCGTGCGTCTAGCATGGTTGCAGGAGCGGAGGAAGTGCTACAAACGCATTTTGACATCTAATGGTGAGAAGACGAGGACGACAGTTTTTCTTGGGGCGTGTGCGGCAGTGGCAGTGAAGCGGGTGATGATACCGAGGGCGAATGATGGCTCTTGTAAGTACCGCCGACTGCTGTTGCTACGCGAACTCCAGGTGATGGAACGTATTCGAATGTATCCGCATCCGAACATCGTGCAGTGTTGGGGTTTTCTTTTTGGAAAGGGGGAAGAGGAACAGACATTTGAAAGCTGGAACCCCTCAGGCGATGGCACAGAGAACAGCACGGACGGGAAGGTTCTTACAAGCCTGAATAAGGAAGGACACCGGATGGCGTTCAACGAGGAAAACAATGACGGAGATGAACGGACAGATCAACAGATACCGGAAGGAACCTCGTACGTTGATTTGTGTCTCTCACTCTGCACGGGTGGCACACTGCGGAATTATGTGGCGCTCAAGGCCAGCGAGGTCCCCCACGCGGCGACAGCTGGAACAGAGTGTTCAGCGTCCGAATCACAGATGGTGAATGTCGCAATGGCGTTTGAAAAGGTGAGTTTTGATCATTTCAGTGGCGCTCAGGGAATCACTGGAAGCACCAATGAAGACACCTCTCCATACGGCTGTGAAGATTATGATGCGTATCATTCTTACCCGAAACAAATTTTGGGTGAAGGGAAGAAAATTGCCAATGCGTCCTCAAATCTACCACATGCGTCCGTTTCCATCTCCGCTCACCTTGCGGTTCCTGAGCGTGACATTGTCGCCATTGTGTATGCACTGGTTCATGCACTTCGTCACACGCATGAGACTTTAAAGACGTTGCATCGTGACATTAAACCCTCAAATGTGCTGATATTCAGTGGGGTAGGAAAGGCACCAGAATACGCGTTGCAGCCCTCTTCTCTCCCGATTCCGGCGTCCGGTGGAGAGCCGTCGCAAGAGCGCGACAAAACGTGTTCGAGCCAGGCCAAACCCTTAAGCCTAAGAGTTGACTCGGAGATCAGGAGTACTTTGGGTGACAGTGATGAAACGGTGGAATTTGCTCTTTTTCCTCAATGTCCAGCAACCACGCATGGGTCCACGGGGGCACTGCGGCAGAGCGCAGGGGGGAACCTTGCGACACCGACAGCAACAGCAGGGGGAATGTCAAAACTCAACGATGAACCTCCCACAACGTTGGTGGTGCCTCTGGGATTGGGGTACTATCGTTTGCCATGTACTGCTACGGATTCTTCACGGAGAGTTTATATTGATTGCTTGCCGCAGGCCGAGGGATGGCGAATACAGTTGGCGGACTTTGGGGTTGCTACTGGGGTTGACCGGCTTGCTGGCTCAGGAAGGTGTGGCACCCCTCCGTTCATGGCCCCAGAGGTCGCTCGACATGCCGACCAGGGTGTTCCCGAGCAATACACGACGAAAGCAGACATTTACAGTCTGGGGGTAACTTTGCAGCATACAATTCTTTACCTTGTTATTGAAGGTGAAGAGGGAAGTTCGAGAACGTGCAGGTATGCGGACGCATTGGGGGCGCAGTGGATTGATGAGGACGACACCGCGACGCAATCACGGCTGGGGTTTGGCACAGGCCTTAAAAGTAACAGCACTGAAACAGATTTAAAGCCGAACTTTATTGTACCTAACGCCTGGCGCTGTGACAAGGAGCTCGTTGAAGAGGAATACATCCGCTGCGGTTCACTGGAAACGGAGTTTCCCAAACGTGGTGTGGATGATGAAAAGGAGCATGAAAGTAAACCAAAAGGATTTGTTGTGCCCCGCGCCTGGCGATGCCGCGATGAGCTGTTGGAACGCCAATATATTCGCCGCGAGTTGTCCCCAAGAAGGAATGATACTGACATCCATGCTCACCTTCTCACCTCTTTGCCCAATGAGCTCAACGACTTCAAGGAAAATTCCGCGGCGAGGGAACGTCGTGGGTCACGATGCAGCTCGTGTGGAAAGATTCATCGAAACCTGATCGAACTGCTAAACGCCATGACGGTAAAGAAACCATCACAACGGCCAAATTTGTCTACTGTTCTTCAGAGTACTGCGATTATTGAACGAGGCACATTTCTGGAAAAGGGAAGGCAATTCTCTTACCCCAATAATGCTGCTTGGGATGTTGGCGCTGAGGACCACGGAAACCAGCCATCCATGGACACGAATTCCTTGGAGAGAGGAGCGGCGGCCCAACGCTTTTCCCGTGCACGACGGTGGGCAGAGGAAAGAAATCGTGTCCGGTCTCCTCCTACGGGATTTCGGTTTGACATGACAGAACCGCGTCAGAAGAGCAGCCAGGGGAAAAACTGTGGCGGTGAAGATGACACAACAGTGTTGCTCTGGCGTCCACCTTCCCTCAGCTTCCTTCGGGCTTCC